TTTAATTTTGATGTTTCAGTGTATCGTCATTCGTGTAAATAACGTTTCGAAATTTCACGCAAATCGAGCAGAGATTCCATTCGAGAAAACCTTTTCGGTTTGTAATTAAAATGAAAATACATTACAATGTATGGTCACACTAGTCGAAATTATAATACAAACATGAAACATTAATTATTAAGCAAATAGCGAAGTAAAATTGGAAATACCGTACAAAAATTAACATCTAAACCAAAATAACCATATTTCTATATAGAAATAATAACAATTAGAGTCGAAATATCACTAAAAATCAGTTTGACATGACGCGCAGTATTTGTATGGTATTATGTACTTAAGAATGAAATATAATATTACATTCTGGATGCCACTCACTTTTGCAACCGCGCACAATAAACTTAATGACCATTTTACTAATTTTGCCTCTGGTTTATTCCAAAATTCAGAAAACAAACTTGCGAAATGAACATAAACATCCGCCATGTACAGTAAAAATTATTTGACAAATAGCCTTTGGGTTGTCATATAACGGCTTTTAAGAATAAATCTAAAATAGGGGAAATATGTAGGAAGTTAGGCAAATAGTTCATAGTAAATCTTTATTAAGTGTTTAAAAGAAACAGCAAACACTTAAGTGAAAATCGTTTTTGACAAGTTTCATTATAATTTTTTACTTAAAATTCTTGCCATACTGAGAATTAAACTTATACTGAAATTCTTGATGGCTGTAAATGGGGTAATATTAGTCGTCACGTTGGCTATCCTGTAGGGAAAACAGGGGTTACTCAAGGTCATTTGATTATTCCTAATGTTGATATTAGGAGTGTGGGTTCCAGTTTGTCTATACTTCCGTGCGGCAATGTCATAGTCAGTCTTTTTTTTTCAATTAATGTTGTTAATAGTGACATCTGTCAGTAATTATGTAGATTAATTCATCAGTAGATAAAGTGGTATTTTTGAAATTAGGATTTGAAGAGGTCTCGTTTATTTGCTACAGAGGGCGCAAATGGGTTAATATGGATATATTGTCTAAAATAATTGTCTAAAAATTGTGCAGGGATGTCGATATTATTTTAATGTCTCGCAAAGCTCAAGTAGCAAAAAATGGTCATAACATGGGCGCAGCAATCGATAGTTCTGCGCCCAACTATGCGATTACAGCAATATTGCACGATTGCTTGTCGACCTATTTGTGATGCATTTACTAACATTAAACAAAATATGTTTTTTTGCTGATATGGCGGCTGTGAATTTTGCCTCGTAATAACCATATCAGAATAAATTCATTCTAATTCATTAATTAAATCTCGATCGACCTCCCTGCACACCTCAACAACATATGAACCATCACGTCTCACATGTTCACCGTAGTATGAACGGGCTTGTTTAATGTATCATGTCATTAATTTCCATTTGTGGAAAATCTAGAACATTTTCATTATTGACATACTTTCAAAATGGGCCCGTCTTCTATTTAAATTATTTCGTTCTACAAAATCAGACAATGAATTAGTGGTAAACATTCTTTCCTGTATTATGGAGATTATAACCCTAGTATCCTCTCTGTCTTCCAGAACCGGATGAAATGTGTTTATTAATGCTGCTGCCACCTTAAAATCTTGCATCAAATGATTAGATGCTTTACTTAAATATTCTTGGCGCAGCCGCTGAAAATCTCGTTTGAAACGTCCATTGACCACTTCTACTACGGTTTTACTTCTTTACAGTATTCGTTTGGATTTGCTTTACTCAATTGATATCTACCTGGTTCTATTCAGACAGGATAATGAACCGAGTAGTTCAAACTTTATAAGAGAGAAATATTGTCACAAAAGTCTCGGTCTAAAATCATTACATCACATTCTCTAAAATATTGTTGCATAGGTTTTGAAGAATCATAAAATTTATTTTTTAAAATGTCAGTATCTGATTTTGTGGCTGCATAAGGGCCCAGTACATCAATTATATAGCCATCACAACATGCTATGAACGGTTTGACAAGGTTCCTATATTTATGAAGGGAATATATGTTTTCTTTTGGTATGCATAATTGCTACTCTTCTGTACATGAATATATGTTCCATTCATAATAGTGATTGTCTTTCTTTACCCCATATTAGCCCCAGGGCTTTCATACAATTATTCCTCAGGAATATAAAGGTTTCTTGCTGCAACTTCTTCTCTACTTATATGTTGTAACCCTGAATGTGCTGGCACAAAGCATTCCACCATAACCTCTCCTGCTTTAGCAACAAGTCTTGAGAGAGTATTTCTTCCAATATTTAATAATGTAGAGATTCTTTCATCTGAATCTCCTGTTCTGAGCTTCATTAAATAAGCGCCAAGTGATGTAGCACATTTTTGAAAATCTGGGAGATCTGCTTCGAGTTCTCTCAATTGCTCTTTCGTGCGTCCCAGCCAATACCACACAAGGTGATCATCCATTTGCCCAATATTATCAAAATCTAAAGTATTGTTATCATTTTTTAATAACTTGCAAAAGTCTATGTGAACTGCCGTGAAACTTCGGTTAACATTTTCAACATCAAAAGATCTGGCCTTGCCAAATGCAATTCACACATATATGACAATCTGGTGGTATGTAATACTTATCATATTTAAGGATACTCACCCTTAATACAAAAGGAACTCCTCGCTGTGATAGTACCTCTTATTACATTGCAGAAATATACATCTTTTATGTGTGTCTGATGTAGCGATGGCGTTGACATGGATTTATGTTCGTACACTAGTTAATCAACTAGTTAAATTCGTCAGCTAGTTAACGTATTACTGATGTCAATTTGCAACGTAACCCGTTCAATCATTGAACGGTTTTTACTTAACGCTGTGGCGTTCAATTTTAGAAACAATTAGATTCAATGTATGTATTGGAAAACGTTTGACTGATGATTCTACTTAGATGACCTTCCCTTCATTTTTTTTCTTCAGTATTAGGATTGACTGAATACAATTAGCTATAAACCATATTCTACTCAGGCGTATTTAAAAGATCATCCTATTCTATGTAAACAAATCAATTATTATCCACAATATGTTTTTTATAGTTTATTTTTATTTACTTTTTTTTTTCGTTTTTTTTAATTAAATTCGCACCCCTTGTATCGGTTCTGAGGTGAATTTATATAACATGATTTGCTCAACTTTGCTGGTGGTTAGCCTTGTACGTCTTTGGTTGATAATAAGACCAGTTTTTGAGAACATTTGTTCACAAGGAACGGACGTTGCCATTATATTACAATGCTTCACAAATATTTTCTTTAGATTAAGGTATACAAATTGATGGTTTCTCCACCATTCTGGAGGGCTATTCAAATTTCCTGATTGGTCCTTTCGAGGTAATAACTCATCGGATAGGTACATGCCTACCGCCTTGATGGCCTTGGAAAGCGGCGTACCTTGAGTTGTGGTATTCGCGATCATTTGATCGAAGATGTTCCAGGGGCTTAGTTCATCATTTGCATTTCTATTAACATTGTCAGTTACTGGCGAGATTGTAGACTTTGTGGTGTTACCTATTGTTTGTGCGATCAACGCTGCGATCATTTTCCTAAGTTTTTCTTTTGTGTTTTGTGCTTCGTTCGTTTATGTGAACGTGAACGTGGTTCCAATGTTTTATTGCAGAGTGCACAGCTTCTACCAACATTACTTGTTACTGTAGTGTTTGTCATCTCTTGAGTTCTTTTCCAACATCTGCATACGAGATTATAAGCTTGAACCTAAAAAAACATAGTTCACTTGTTTTGTTATAGGGTAATACCCAAATACTTCTTTCAGTTTTTTTCAAGTACAGAAACTTATTTATGTAGTTAATTTACTCTGAGAAAACGCAAACAGAATCATATACATCACGGGACCCGGAATATGCGGACAAAGTAGAAATGTAATTACCAAAACAGGTGCAATCCATTGTTGTATACAGTGACAAATCTGTTCATCTTCCAACAACATTGGACCACCAGCAGAGCCACAATTTACACAAAATACATTTTCCATTGCGTATGCGTAAGTCCGTTTATGAATGCTAGGTTATCGTTTGAGCGGTGCAGTTCCGAAAATCATAGCTAGGTAAGTCGTTTTTGAAAGCAATCAGAGTCCGTTAACTTACTTACTTACTTATCTTCACGCACAATCCCTGACGGGGTAGCCAGAGAGAACAGATCGCCAAGTGTCACGATCCTTACAAACCTCTTTCGCTTCTTTCAGATTCATTATCTTCTTCATGCATGCACGTCTAGGTATCCGAGTACTTTTGACCCTACCCTCTTCGAGCAATTTGCTCACATGATAGTGATAGTGATCCGTTCCCAGGTCAGCACCCCTGAACACTCGCGTATCCATCACCTGTTTTCGCAGTCGGTCATCCACCAGGAACAAATCAATCATACTTCTCTCATTCTTTCGTTCTCTAGTATACATATGGATTTTCTTGTGATTAGGGGAGACCGGGGATGGTTGACCAATTTTCAATGAAAACGCTTGTATTTTCATTATTTCAGTGTATATTATCGAAAAAACCAATACCTCTGTTAGATAAACTATTAAGCTTTGGAAAAAAATAACAAAAAGCGTGTAATTAATTATCATATAGTGCACAAGTTTCATTTTGTAGAACACGAAATATGAGTCAACCTAACCCATGCCTGGGGTTGGTTGACTTGTCCCTAGGGGTAAGTTGACCTAAGAAATAATTGATGCACATTAAGGGAATAAAGAGGATAACGAAATATAAATAGTATTAGTAATTATATTTTTTAATTAAAACAAAGTTTTTAATACTGACAATTAAAAAAAGAACATAATATACTTTAAAGTATAATAAACAATCATAGATTAGAACATTTCTCAACTAAATACTTCTTAATTCCTCTTCTAATTAATTTAATAATTTGGTAAAAAAAACAGTCTTAAATAATTTAACTAACATAATTATATATTTCTAACGTAAGAGATCACATTTTTGGAATCAGGCTATCAAATCAGTCTTCAAAATCAGAGGTGCAATTTTTGCATTCATAGAACAAAATATTGCCATTTGTACATTTTGCATGGGCCCATAACTTGCACGTAGTACATTGAATCCATTCCTCTCCAGGAATACTCAAACTATAAGATTCAGTGCACTCTAAACAAAATGTATCATCCTCATCACTTTTGTCTTCGTCATTATTCCTCTTATTCGTCTCATGAAAAGCTTTTTTTCCTTTTCCCTTACCCTTACTAGCCCCTTTAAATTTTTCTTCCATTATCTTTGGTTTTTTTGATTTCTTTGTCAGCGTCTTACGAGATTGCTGTTTTATTTTGAGTTCCATTAGATTTTCTTTTTCTGGTGTGTCTGTATAAATAGTGCTTTTTCTTTTTCGAATATTTTTTTTATTTTCCAAACGTGGTCCAGCTTTTGGAAATGGTCTTATCTCTTCAGGTAAATTAAACGAAGTACTGGGCATATTCAAACTTCTTGCTTGGGTCACCGGACTTTTTTCAGGAGTTTTAAATCCTTTATCTTCATTCGTTCCTGAAATTGCGTCTAAAATACAAGGCATCTCGCAAGAAGTATGTAATGTCGATATTGGCATGTCAAATTCATCACTTATTAAAAAAGCAGCATCAGTGTCGTTACCTGGGTCATGTGAAGGTCTTGCTTGAGAAGTTAATAGAGCAGCACTGTTAGTAACTGATGCTGTTGGTAGTGCACTAATAGGAAAGTCTGGTGTTGGTCTGTCAGTTACATAAGATCCGCTAAACTCCGAGTCAGGAAATACATTTTCATTGAGTGGTGATATCCCAGTGACTCGGAATCCAGATTGTATATTATCAATTGTAGCTGCCAATGGTAATGATGTTTTCACCAACTCAGGTATGTCATAGATCGTAATAGTCTTACCTGGGTGACTTGCTAACCAGTTGTCGCATGCTTTGTTGAAATATCTCTTAAGTGGCCCATAAATAGTTCTATCTAAAGGCTGCAGCTTATGGCTACAGTGGGGAGGAAATGATAAAACCGTTACTCCATTTTCTTTAAAATAGTCAAGTACTTCAATAGACAAATGCGAGTCGTGGTTGTCTAGAAGTAATAAAACAGGCTTTTCTTTACTGGGTTTTACATATTTTACGAAATGTTTAGAGAATTTTTTAAAATTATCTTCTTTCATCCATCCAGAAGGATTAGCATCGCCATCTGAACCAACCGTGCCACCCCTAATAAAATGTTCTTTGTAGTGCACACGTGGGAATACGAAGAACGGAGGAACCATATTACCAAGAGCTGAGATTGCAACCGCGACTGTCACCAGCGTACCTCGTTCAGCAGAAGTCATTTTTCCCAAGTTTTTGATTCCTCGACAAGCTATCACTCTATTAGGAACATGTACTGTTGTAAGCCCTGTTTCATCTACGTTCCAAATATCGCCAGGACTTAGATTCAAACGTTGGTAAACAATTTTCAAGTTGTCGAAGAACAAATTTACGTTGTTTTTGTTAAATGAAGTGGCTCGGGATAAACTCGTAGCTTGAGGACATCGTATAGAGAGCGAAGGATGACGTTTCATAAAACTTCCCAACCAATCTTCACCAGCAATCAGTTTTTTGTTCCACGAGTCAGGGATAGATTTCTTATTTTTTTTCGCAAACTCATATGCAAATTTTCGTGTTTCATAAGGAGTAAATCCGTAATAAATATCAGCTGCCCTCTTGAGATAATTTTCTAATGAGAGTTCTTCTTCGTCACTAAATACTTGTCTATTTTTAGTGTAGCCAGTGCTCTCCAAAGTCAATTGAGATCTCGTTAATTCCGGATTACTTTCTAAAATTTTCTTCATCTTTACCACGTGGCGTTGGAGTGTTTTATATGGTATAGAAAATTCTTTTGCTGTAGAATTAATACTTTTTTTATCATAAATTACTTGTTGACATGCTCTATCGAAGACATCTTTGGGTGTATTTCCTCGATCAGTCTTTCTTTTGTACGTTCGCATGGTTCTGTAACAACAAGCATTTGACGAATTAAAAAAAAGACTGACTTTATTCAATGTAAAGTATATCCAGACAACTATGGGGTAGATTGACTAGGTGGTCAACCAGCCCCGCAATAAGTTGGTCTACCAGCCCCGGAACACGTTTTAATTTTTAACGACATGGTATAGCTTCAAAATTGCGGCGAAATAAAAAAGTATGATACGTAATAAAAAGATTAACAATTAAAATTTTACTTTAAATTACTTGAAAGTAAATAACAATGAGTATATAGTCATTACTAAAAAATATATTAAGAGGAAAATAATTACTTACATGATTTGTTTTTCGATAATGTGCTCCTTCTCCTAAACGACACGTGTACGCGATGCCGCGCTCTCGACGACTGAGCGGGGGGAGACAACGGTTTCTCGCGCCTAGTTGGATGACTCAAGACTTTCGAGTAGGTCGAGTTTTTGTCAGTAAGTCAACCTGCCCCTATAGTCAACCATCCCCGGTCTCCCCTAAACATAGTGTTTGTCACAAGAAGACCCTTTTCCTTGCACACCGCCAGTATAAGCTTGCCAGCATCATTAACCCTTTTATCGCCAAACTTTCCAAGTACCGACTCGTACCCTGGTCGAGCGGTACTAACCCATCCATTCAAATCACCACATACAACAATTCTTTCGTTTCCCCTAGCCAAATCTAGAACTTCTCTTATATTCTCCCAAAACTCCTCCAGCTCAGCCATGGACGACGAAGCTACCGGCGCATAAACAGCCAAAAAGAATAACTTCGTCAGTCCCAATTTAAAGCGAACACAGAGAAGTCTTGAGTTCACAACCTTATATTCAGTCATAACATCGACCAACCGAGAAGACAGCAGCACCCCCACTCCCTGGCAGGCGTTCTCGCTCTCCGGGATTCCTGACCATAGAGCTAACGCCCCGCCAGGGAGCTCTTCAGTACCACTGCCCTTCACACGACATCTAATTCTCTTTCTTTCATTATTTCGATCAACTCATTCGTCTTATCTCTCATGCCTCCTCTAACATTCCACGTGCCAACTCTGCACTCTGTCCTCCACCTTCCGCCGTGTCGGGCTGTGCGTGACGGGTGGCGGTCCCCATCGCCGCTTTGCACGCTGCATTCCACACCAACGGGGACGAGCTGGTGTGCGTCGCCTTGGGGGGACGCCCTAACCCTCGTTGGCATGGGTGCGCAGCTAGTAGAATTGCAGCCCTGAAAAGGGCTGGCAGGGGTCGCGACGAGCACGCTTCTACAATGACCCCCTAGAGTCCGTTAAAATTCGTTAAAATAGTCAAGTCGTAATATTCAATATAAATAGTCCCGAAAGTCACCAAAACTATCTTTATGAATATTTTTCTTCAGCTTTATTCTAACAACCTATTTAAAATCGAATATAACATCATTTATTAGGTATAATAGGTTTTTTAAATCATACTTTTAGGGAATAATATAAAATTTAATTTAATAATAGAAAAATTAATTAAAACATTCATTAAAAATTCAAAAAATCGATTGGGCATCCCTAATCATTTTTCGACACCACATTTGTGAACACATGGCGAACATGGCTGCGATTAATGTTATTAGTCGAGTAGAATACTTTTTAATGTTCGTTTTGACATGCACCTAGTCCGTAATATAAAAGTATTTGCTACTAATATAATTAAATAGACAATGAATTATCGTGTATGTCCGATGCTTTTATTGCACAGGGCGATTCTGGACATTGTCCTTTACGTTTTTCGCATTTCATAAAATTTACTTCGTCGTGGACTTAGAATCAGCATTATATTTTAGCACTTATTTTTGTTTGATAGCATAACCATCTTTTGCCACAATATTCTATTTTTATTATAAAATTGTGGAAATTTTCAGTATTTGAAGACGTTAAATTATTTTGATATGTTTTACATTTTTTTAATACAAACTTTTGCTTTGGTTGCTATCCACCCACTACAAAAAGCTATGGCTGCACATTTCTCAGAACGGCTTTCTAGAATTAGTTATGTATTTATTATATTATATCAATATTTAAATGTTCATCGATAAATTACATTATATCATTAGCTTCCTCCATTACAATACAATTTTGGTATATTAAAGATTTTGATGATTTCAAACATATACTGTCATCTTTTTCACAATTTCCCTGTAAGGAGTATGGGGATGTTATATTACTTATTAATAATATTTTAACTGCAGTTTTAAAAGCCGCTGAGTTGGGTTTACATTATTATAACTATGAGCTCTTTATCGCCCCCAAAAAAGTTTTCCAAAGGGTCTTTGTTTACATTATGTAGTAATAATGAATTTATTCCTTCTCACCTTAACCTATTTGTTATTCATTTAAAAGTTCTTCTATAGTTTTTTCCCTAACTGGTAAGAGGTGGCACAGTTATCTCTTTGCCACTGTTATTTACATACTTCATTGACCTTAAAATCGGTAACGTTTTATTCCAAAAATTTTAATGAAGTGAGTTTGGTGTGACTTCAGATCTGTATATTTTCCCTTCTTTACGAAAGTTTGCATTGACGGAGTCGCACAGGTCGTCGAACAGCACTATCAAATCTGCAGTGTCCACACTATCATCTGGCAAGCGCCCACTTTTTAGAAATGAAAATTTTATGTTGAGTATATTTAATTATTGTGTTCATTTTATTGGGCCATTCTAAACTACTGGAGATACACGGAAAATGTTAAGAGGCGTTTCCCACCAAGTTTACATTGTATGTCCCACAAAACATGCATCATACAAATCATTTTTCGCCAACTGATATTGTTTATTGATTGATTCATTACTGTCCCACTGCTGGGCACAGGCCTCTCAGAATTAGACTCAGTTTAGCGGACTACACATACATTGAGAACTTTATGTGGCACTTTCAGGTGTGCAAGTTTCCTCCCGATGTTTTCCTGCACCGTTAAAACAAGTGATCAATAATCAAATTCTGTTCCGTACATAATCTGCATGAAAAGCAAGCGTTTGACCGCTGGGCTATAATGCTATTTGTTGTTATATAGAAAATATAAGTAATAAATCATACAGTTTCTTTTATTAACTATTTACTTATATAAACTATTTATATGTTTTCCCAATTTTCCCATAAATAACAATTGTAAACAATTATTATTATTTCCTTTATTCATTTAAATAATCTTATTACTACATTTTTAAATGTATAAATCTATAAAAAAGATATATAGAATTAAAATTATAGGTCCAGGCATATTATTATTATAAAGTTTCTCCATGAATTTGGCAGTGTAAAACAGAAAATAGGTACTATTTATTATATATATAGGTGATGCGTGAAGTCTGCAATGAAGATAGGTGATGTATAACTAGATATCTTAGTTGTTGAAAATATTTGCACTGAAAAATTAGTATTTTCTGTTTTTAAACTACATAATTTTAAATTTTGTACAACCGACTTCAATATAAATTATTAAGAATAACTCAAAAACTATTGATCAGACCTTGATCAAATTTATATGGGACCACATGAAAAGCACCAGCTTTCATATAAAAAAATCATCGAAATCGGTTCATGCAGAAAAAAGTTATGCGTAAACACAAAAAAAAAGAAAAAAGAACATGCAGTTGAATTGAGCACCTTCTCCTTTTTGAAGTCGGTAGAAAATTGATAGGGACTCAAAGTTAAGTGAGATATACCTGCCAGACATCCAAGTGTCACACCAACAGACTTACTGAACACTGCATAAAAAATTACCCTCAATGATACCAAAAAAAAATATCCCAAATTTTTGGTAACATTGAATGCACCATATGTTAAACTGTCTGTTTATTGGTCAATTCTACACCCCGGAATGAAGGGCTTATTTTAAAAGGATTTTATATATGACACCATTTAGCCACGTGTAACTTTTACTAATTATTATTTAGTTAATTGTTGCGTACATCCTTCATGAGATGAGGTGAATCATAAATAGGCACAATTTTGACACTGACCACTTCAATAAATCCACCTATATAATCTTCATAATTTCTTAGATAATTCCCTTTCGTTTCTTCCATCAACTGATTTATTGCAGCGAGGTTTGTGGCTCCTTGGTCACACATTGTAGCTACAACTGTAAGACTTGTGCTTTGGACTTTTCTATTATATTTTTATTGATATCTCAGATTTACAGACTTTGTTGTGCTTGAGCAAAAACTGTAGGCTATTGTCTGCTTATAGTTTTTTACTATGCCTCTAACCATAAATACAAGCACATGATCAGCGAATATTGGTTGTCTTTTGCTGCCATTGTCGACAAATCCATTTATTTTGTCGTGTCGTAATTTAAATTAGTAGCAATTGACATTTCGTCAAACAGTTTGCAACAAAATTTATGTTTGTCTGGCATTTTGCACACTTTTTTCTTGTTCAAATATTTTTACGTTAACCCTACAAGGCTCAATTTTTTTCTGCTAATAAAAATATATGTGATGTTGTTAGTAATCAGTACTTGGGAAAAAATAATAAAAAAATCAAAATCCAATATTTTACTAGAAAATCAGTCTTTTATTTCAGTTCCATATGTGGTACACTGAGCCTTAACTATATATTTTGGGATTTAACTAAAACTTTTGAATTATTTTAGGAACATGTTATCATTTGAATGATGTTGAAGTGTACTTAACATTATTAAATAAACATATTACAAAATAATTATAACATAACAAAATAACGTTTTTTTTTTTTAAATTACCTATTGGTGAAAGTTTCTGAAACTATTATTATCTTTATTGAAGCAGAGTTCGACTCGACATTTTTCACATGATATAAATGTTTTCCTTTACAACCGGGGTATTTACAGCGTTGCCTTTTTTGACCCCAAATTGGAAAATGCTCAAACCTGTCACATCTCACTTCACGAGGGGGTAAGATTGTCGTATTCGGCTTCTTTCTCTTTATTTCTATTTGATCAGGCAAACTTGAAAGTCTGCCTCTTTTCTTAGTGATTGATATATTATTGATGGCCCAC